CCCCAAAACCCCAAAACCCCAAAACCCCAATTAATACTAAATTAAAAAATCAATAAAATGAAATACTCTCACGGTATAAATGCTTGGAGATTTTGGTGAATAGCTTCTAAAGCCCTAATTTTAAGCAAAAAGTGTTAAAATAACTAACGAAAGGACAATTTATCCCTGTAGAAGCTTTACAAATATGTCAGGAAGAAGAATACTTGAGCTTTGTTAGATTTGGCTTAAAAAGTTTGCCTTATCTTTACCTTTAGAATTCTCTGAAAACATTTTTCCAGAGTTGGAAAATACAACTCGGTCAGATATTTTATCTCTTTGGATCTCAATAGATTATATATGTTGAAAAAGGGCAATCCTTAACGATTTATTTTAGATACAAGGAAAAAGATGAGAGATTCAGGACTAGATTATCTTGATGAGTTATCAGAGGAAGATCCGCATCACCTCTACTTCCTACAGTTTATTTATGGGATATTCCTGTATTTCCATGTGTGAATTGTGCTTTTGATTCTACTCTTGAGTTATCAATTCTTCCATCCTATAATTTTCTCGTATTTTGCGTTATATCTGTGAATGTGAGTCTTATCTACATTCTCAGTATTTGGAAATGATAAGTGAAAGACACAGCATTGGCTTATTTTTCTTATAATGGGTATCTTCACACTAGGATCAATAGCAGGCCTTGGCTTAGCTGTATATTTCAGTCTATTTAACGACCTATCAAGCTTAAGCATCTGGAATAACGATTATGATGATGTGGAGGGAACATTCCATGTTTTTCTTATCCTCTTTAATTTCATTCCTGTGATTCACGAAGTGCTATACTTCTCTGTCCATATTCACAGGAAGAGAATTTCTGGAATCGGTAAGTAATAATAGATCATTTTTAGAGTGTAAGCTGGAAGAGAGATACTGACAGGAACCAAATAAGGAACCCTTGATTAAGAAAAGTTGGAAATATGACGTAAACGGTAGCTTAAATGTCTCTTATTCTTCTAATATTAGGGATGAATGTAACATAACCAGCACCTCACACCATAATTTAACAGATGAGCAGGATTCTTACATCCCTCCTACACTTGAGACATAGCATCCAAAAGAGTGGTTGTATTAGGTTAGAACAAATTCAATATAAATAGAATTAAATGGGGTTTTGGGGTTTTGGGGTTTTGGGGTTTTGGGG